GTACAAAGGGTCGCAAGAAGACACAATCCACCACATGGGCCCATGACTTAGGTGCAACAGACACTTCGTTGCTTGGGGCGCCCAACACAGGCGACTCGGTGCTCCCATTCACCACGTTCCTGGCTCCCACAGTCCCAAAACGCTCCAAAAGTAGTAGCAAGGATGCTATTCGTAGCTCCTGGGATTACTACTAGTTACTAGTAACAAGAAGCTACTAGGAGCAAAGGGCATCGCTACTAGGCGCAAGGACGCTGCTAGGGGCTCCTGGCATTACTACTAGTAACAAAGAAGCTACTAGTAACAAAGGGCATCGCTACTAGCAGCAAGGACGCTTTTAGTTTCCGAATAAAGTGGACTCTGAGGACTCTTGTGGCATTGTGCAAAAGCGTGAGCTTCACACAAACATTCTGATTTTGTAAATGCTGCGTCTGTCTCTAATCTGCCAAAGTTTGGTGGAAAGCAGGACTGGCTTGTCACGCCTGAAACTCCTTTGAGCTGTGAGCCATATTACCCATCGCATCCTGGGGCCAGACAAGTCTGTGACCCGTTTTCTGCCCCGTTTTCCAAAAGAGGTGCTCAGGCATTTGCGAGTCAAGACTAGAGGACAAATTTTGCGTCAACTTCCGGGTCCCTTCCCAAATTACGAAGATTGGCCTCCATTCCATAGACGGTAGCCCAACATGTCTTTCATCACTGAGACCTTCCCCAAATGGTTCTAGCAATACAGGCATTGTGTTGGTAACCACAGTGGTTTGCAAAAATGACCAAGGAAGGCGCTGCATTGGTATCAGCAGTGGATCTACAAAAATTACCAGTGACCGTATTTACATTGCCTGGTACAGTACAGGCTCCTAGCTAAAGGGCAACGATCCACTTGAAACTCAGCAATGGCAATGAGAAGGCTAATTTTTTGGTAGTCTGTTACCTATGCCCAGCAACAAGTCCTGAACAGCACCTGGTCCAAAGACAAGCTCGTAGCTTGCTCCTGGGTTGTGCGCACAAAAAGTGAGCAAGGCATGAGCAGGAAGAAAAAGGTGATATCCTTATCACCCGAATCGCACAGGCAAACGGAAACCTCAAGCTTTGCTTAACAAATCTTTGGTAAGCAAAGTCCCATCAGGGATCGAAAGGTTATCGGTACAGTTCAATGTAGAACTGGAAATTGTCAGCATCTTGTACTGTACTGATAGCAAAGCAAAACTTATATATATATACAGTGAACACCGCATTCACACTAAACATGATCTCTGTATGCCTGACACTAAAACCACATATATATATATATATATAAACATTGGAAACCAACTATTGAATCCATCCGGAAACCTGAGACCTGTCCTATAAGACGACATAAAAATGTCGCACAATGAGGCAACAGCTGAACCATATATAACTCATATAAACTACATAAGTTCCCCGCCTGGCTCCAATGGTTGCCGAGGCCGGACCACTACCTTGGGAGCGTGGTGAAGCTGATGAACCAATGTAGCTTTTTTGTTACCATTAGCTTCAAAGACCTACTAGTAGCATCCTTGCTCCTAGTAGCGATGCCCTTTGCTCCCAGTAGCGTCCCTTTGTTCCACCAGGCGAACTTGCTTGGCCTCTTGAGTTTGACTTCCTTAACCTCTTGCTCTGTGTCCTCTTTCTGAGTCCGAGGAGTTGAGACACAGCTGGTCTGGAAGGCCCTTTCTTAAAATTGAAAATACAGTAATAACAATAATATTGATAATAAAAACATGCTGTTGCTGGTTGTGAAAATCCACACTTCTGCTTAGCAACATTCACAGCTAGCTCGTACGCTCGCTCTCCTCTCTCTCTCGCTCTCTCTGCCTCCCTTTCGCCTTGGCTTTCCTTTACAATATGAAAAGATCCTTTGCCACACATGAAGCTTTTTGAGGTACCTGCCATGCCAGGCACTCCCAAAATGCTGCGGAAGATAGGGTCATCATCCACCACAGTGGCAGGACCTGGCGGATCAAGCCCGCGACTTAAATGGTTCTTGCATCCAGTGTGGTAGCTCTACCCCGCAACTAAATTCCCATTAACATCAGTCAACTGAAAATGAGCTCAAGAAGTCGCAGAGGTCAAACATGCGCACAATGTCTGGGTCTTTTCTCTGCATCCATGAAACCATCATGCAAACGTTGGACACTGTAAATATATGGGCCATTTTGCAAGCATCCACGACAAATTGTTGCGGGGCATTCCACCTGTTCTGCAAGTAACCCATATCAGTCACACGACCCTTTTCACACGGCTGGCACTGGTATTCGCCACAATTTGTTCCTTGGATGATCACAATTTACAAGAACCCATCGAGAGAGTCTGATGCATGCCCTCCAACAGTCCTCCGTACAGCCCTAGTCGCTAGTCGAACTTGAAGGCTCTGCACGTAGGACCCCACAGGTTCTTTTTGTCAGCGTGGAGGTGTCACTCCAACTATATGTGCATATAATCTACAGTATATGTAGAGAGGTCATAGGTGTAGAGGGTCTCCAACGAGACTTCTTCAGACTTCGAAGGCATCTCCAACCGAGTCCGACATCGGACGCGCAACGCGTCGCGATGCGTCGCGATGCGTCGCGATGCGTCGCGATGCGTCGC